AACAGAGCTAAGCCACTACATATTTGTCAAACCGTTGCACGTGCATATTTTCTTGATTTGGGATCATTCTGAGTCGCTCAGAATGAAATACAACTTTGCTTTGCAGAGGTTGGATACCTTGAACGTCAGTATTACCGGTGAGAAAGTAGAGAAAACACTATCTGGTCTGGTGTTTCTGAATGTTCACAGTAATACCATGTTGTACGATTCGCTTTAAAATAATATCAAGATGCTGGAAATGCAATTCTCCGTCCTGACGTGTTGTCAACCTGTCATCTATATACGCATGCACAAAGTTGATTCCTCTTAATACGTCATCGCTGAATGGCTGACAAGTTTGTGCAGCATCCATTAAACCTAAAGGCACGCGCAAAATTCGTGGAATTTAGAGGGTGTGATGATAGCAGCTTAAAGCATGTTGTCTGCAGCTATAAGAATTTAGTTATATGCTTGAACCAAATTGGTTGTCCGGAAAACAGTTGTACCTTTCAAGGCGGTTGTCAGGTCGTGGATGTGTGGCAAACAGTAACAATCGGTCTGAATTTTGTATGAAATCTCCGATAATCGCCGTTTGGAACCTAATCATCACTGTTCTTTTAAAGCACTATGTGCAAAGGTGATGCCCATGGGCTATTGTATGGCCATGAAAGTTCAAATTTTATTTTAAGCTGTGATTCGTTTTTGACCAACCTTGGCTTTTTGAAGCTAGTCGATGACCTCTAGGAAGTACAGGTTAGTGATGCGATGAGTGACATTGATGGGTACACATGGTGGTTTCGTTCTCGTTTCGTAAAGTTCAGAGCACTTATCGAGAGTCTGTTGAAAGTATGAACCGATCATATTTATAGTCGTGACTACCAGAAAAAGAAACTCCACGATTAGATAACTCTGTATTGACGTCTACTAACCTCCGTTCAACAGGGTCAATGAGTAGATTTGGGTCTTGTAGAATGTCTGCCAATTATTGGGACTGACACGTCTGCAACAACAAAAATCCGGTGAATGAGTTCGCCTAAACTTGTAACGTTCAACCTTTGATAGGTTTGTCTCTAGCTTGAATATACTTCCTGTGCTAAAGTGTGTCAGTGGCAGCAAGCCAAACTATCTGGAAAGGAAAAGAAAAGTGAAACAATTAGTCGATCACTCAGCGAGCACCTAGAATGTACTTGTAGTGGCATTGGGACCTAATCATACAATCCTCAAACGTGAACGCAAGAAAACTGGGAAAATAGATATTCGACATTTAACGCGGAGAAAGGCCGAACGAAGGAGACAGCGTAAAGAATTAGTTCAAATCATCGGATAGCATGGCTCGGCCTTGCAAGCATGGTCATACCTGCGTAACGTACCTCCTTTATTCATATTAAATTTATCGTTCTATCACCATCCTAAATGTGTCTTCAGCCATATATTGGTGATTACGATAGACGAGTCAGTGTAGACAATGCTGTGACTTCCACGTGAGATCTCATAGATTAGGTAGTCAGATCATGAGAAATCTGCAATTTTAGGATCAGGTCTGTTATTAGAGCAATACTAATAAAGAAGAACACCATAATTCTACATACTTGCGTTTATAAACGAAAGCAAATGTCAACCTTCAGAAATGATACGAGAGTGGAATTTAAATAACCTAAGAACCGAAGCAACAAGTTGATAGTGCAAAGTCTGGAAGGTATTACAAACCCACGTTAAGACAAACATGCATTTCACCGATCGTGGCAATAAGTTTGAAGACGGTCATTTCTGTCCTCATGAAGAACTTCTACTTCTGCTCTAGAGTCAACGAGATAGCGAACTTTCGTCATCACGTCAGTGACGCATATCGGGCGACTATTTTCACCGCCTGCAGTTGTCGTTGACGCGTGCCAGCAAGAAAGTTTCCTCAAAGGTTTTATCGTGGTGGAAGATTTAAAGTTTTAGAGACTACATGGTTTTATTTCATTTCTAGAAGATTGGCCATGAGTGTTTCGATACCGATATTATTTAGAGCTAGCTCTCTCATGGTCTAAATGTAGATCCATTTTCATGACAGGCTTCCTTGGGTAGTTGTAAAGTACCACGATTATGATTATCACTAAAGTGCCGAAGAAGAGTGTTGAGGTGTGTGATGTTATTTTGCATCGCTTGAAGATATTCTTTGACAGAACAAGCCTTGGTGCTGGTGTTCTGGTAATCTCCAGACGCGATTTGATACATACAGCCAGTTCACCGAAACATTGTTGTGAAATGAGTTGGGAATCGCTAGCACCTGTTGGGGAGGCCTAGGTAAGGACAGTTATCTGAAAAGGCTCACATAGAAAGTTTGCGTATGTAGCAACATTTCCATTTCTGAGACGTGGTGTGATTCGAAGTTGCTGAAGATCTCTTCTAACATCTGTCGATCGATCACGTTTCTCCGTTTGACGATGATCGTTTCCAAAGTGTCATAGGGTTCAAAAACATCAATGACGTATCTCCCTAAATTACTCAGCAGTACCATTACTACTGCGACAAATCACGAACGTGGGTTTATTGCGCTGTGCATGTAGCAGTCAACTTCTGCTCAATAGAACCAGGTTTCAGGCCAGAAATGTTTTGAGATGAAAGCGCGGCGGTGTAAGCACAGAGCTCTTTAACAGTTTGGGTGTCTGTATCGTATGAAGACAAAATATGTAAATGGGCTAAGAAATATAAATAATTTCACGATATGTGAAAAATGATACACAATGTTATAACAAAGAACAAACTCACAGTACCAAATTACATCATATCTCATCACTAAAAGTGCCACAGATATACAGAGTTAAGAACACGTTTGCCACTAACACTTCTATGGTCAAAGGATATCATACCAGTCAAATAGGAAGACAATATGAATGGATTCAAAGGTGTATTTGGGAGGTTTTCGATACGTTAAAATCATTTGATCTAAGCTGATAGTAGTTTCAAGGGATGAATAGCATGGCGTACACGCCGTGATTTGGTGCAGAAACGTGACCGAAAGCCTTTAGCTGGATGCGTTCAGTGAGACTAATGAGGTCCACATCAATGATAGAACTATTTATTTTAGGGACTTATTTATGACTACAATTAACTATAAGCAAGACTTCCCTAACCCATAAATCATTGATCTCGTAAGTGAACTTCTCTAACCCAAGAGAAAACGAAGTTAGAATTATCGGTGAATGAGTAGATACGCCACGGTGGCTCCACAGTCCTCTCTGAGAGCCTTCAAAATCTGTCTCAGTGATTACTGAGCGTTCGGAATGTGCTAGTAAGTGAAAGTTAAACAACTGGGTATAAACATGTAAACTGCTAAAAATCATTTTGAGAACTGAACAAGTCACCAGAAAATTAGTTATTCTATTAATAGAAAACTTTATCATTCTCTCTCTTTCGGGTTTTTATTCCATTGAGAAACAAATAACTGCAGCGTCCCAGCAATCTGGATCTTCTTGGAAAACATTATTCATTGTAAACAAGTAGTTGAACAAGCTTTAATTGATTTTTGCATAAATCTTAAACTTTCAAATTACATTGAGACACTAATATAAAATAAGTTGCTTGTTTGTATTCCGAATAATAAGACATTGAACATCAAAGCCAGAGCGTTCCGTTTCAATGATTTTTAAGTTGTCGCTCTATCTGGATTACTAGGACTTTTTTCGGGATATTACACATGCATTACGCGTTTCCCTTCTAAACTCACTGTTTTCGTAGTTTTGCTTCACAATCAAATGTCTGTTTTTTGAAACTTTGTCTTGAGAAAGGGAATCAGTTTATTAATTTACGAAGGATGGTTTCACTTCATATAAACATAGGTCGAGACAGCCAATAACTATGAACCTAAAGGTTGGCGATATGATCACTCTTCATCTTTTATTATTCAACACCATAAATACAGCGACTTTCCAGTTGATATTCCTCTTAACAGATAAGCCGCGTGTCCGCTAGAACATGACAGATTAGTAAATCCTCTAAAGAAATAACGCTTCATGAAAACGTAGAAAAAGGTCTAGAAGCCATTATCATAAAGTAAATAAAATAAATAAATTTATATGTGGATTAAAACAAATGCTTAACTATGGAAATAATCCACAATGGCAGTGATTTTATTATTATGATACTGGTTTATTATGAAGTGCATAATTTTTTGCAATTATCATACTAATAATATCCAAACTCACGTTAGTTTTTTCATTTAGTCGAGTCATGTAACAGGGTTCAGAAAAAGTGGCGAAAAGTTGGTTCATTCAGTCAGTCAAATGCAATTTAGAACGTGGTGCGTATGTACATCAGTTCAAGTTGTCATACTGCATCAACACAGCGATATGAAATCGTCAAAGAAAACTCCAAAGTATTAAATTTCAAATGTAGGCCATGTGTTGATCGTCTCACTTATAGCTGTATATTACGCTTATTTCACCAAGGGGCCACGGTGCGTTTAGCCGAAAAATTATTATTGGTTGTTATACGAATATGGTAAACTTTAATTGTCGATTTAAAAATTTCCGGGATCGGATTAATCTCTAGTGACACATTTTGTGAAAAATGGTAATAATCGAAAAAATCTTGTGCCATATGCAAGCAATTTCATCACTTTATATGGCTTCTAATGGTACTGATTGACCTTGATAATTTGGATAAGCTTAAAAACAACATTATCAGGGAAAGCCTAATTGTTTACTAGTTGACTTATCATTTTCACAGCGATGATATGCATGACAAAAGTTCATAAAAAGTTCCGGGACTTTCCAGGGAATTTCGTGATCATATTTGATACAAGATGATTTTCAGATGAACATGAAATTAAACCAATGTTCATCTCGGGATTTAGATATGCACTTATTGTAGTACTATTCATATGACCTTTAATAGTAATAAGCCACCCTTATAAATTGTGTAGTCATTTCTGTTCTTTTTTAACATAGAATGTCTTCCGAATATTTAATTTTTTTTTTCTGTTATAGATGTTTGTCACTAATTACTCATAGTTTTATTCAGAATATAAAGATGCTATGAATTCCACTTTACACTCTGCGGACTCCAGTGTTATCCAAACCAGTTTATTTGGTCATTATAACAGGGCTGGGGATCCAACTAGCCTATGGTGTGATGAATCTTTGGAAAACCCAGACTCTATGTTGGATCAATGCAAATGCTACACAAGTACTCCAAGTTCTTTTTCTACTACTTCAGAGAGCACATCTTATTCGCGTGATCTTTATGTTACATCTAGACTACGAAGTCGGTCTGAAGAGAAAAACTGTAAATCGGAGCAACCCTTTTATCTATCTCATTCCGTAATCAATTATTTAAAATTGGACAAATTATCTAACAAAATGTGTCCTGGTTGTGTTCCTTGTTCTTCTTCTGATGATAAACTACGATCAAGTATGTACTCCGAAGAAAAAGACGATTTGAATGTCACCCAAAAGGACTTCCAACAGGTAGGCATTAGATAGAATATAAATTGTCGATGATATTTTTCACACTTATCGTGCCTCACTTATATGCATCTGGCCGGATGTCTTAGTTTTGGCGTCCAGAAAATGTAATGTTCTCTAGACTTCAGGTAAAATATCAAACAAAAAGACGAGCCTTGCAGGAGTATTTTATAACCGGACTTGGAATATTATATATATATATATATATATATATATATATATATATATATATTCATCAACTGGTTTCAACAGAATTGCTTCTTACATGTGCTTCCGTTTGTAACTTTAAACAAAGACAAAAACAATAAACTGATGAGATTAAATTAATTCATTCTCCCTCAAGATTTCTCATGAGATACAAACAGTATAAAATTACGTTAAGTAATGTTATTTGGTAGGAATGTTTTACATAAGTTGGTTGGTGAATTAGGTATTTTAGACAAAACTACGAAAAGAAGGGAAACGCACAGTTTAGTGATAAACAGTTACGATTACTGCGTCTTTATATACTGAGAAAAAGCTAGTCACGAAAATTATTAGATGGATTATGGTTAATAGTTACTATAATACAAAGTTTTGGTTCATCTTGTGAATGAATTGGCTTAGAAATTATAATTCACATCATTGGAATGTTCCATAGTCTTTGCTTTTCACTCTTTAAGGGTGACAAATTCAAGCGCAAAGGAAACCAGTCGTTTAAATCAAATTCGTCAGTCTGGTATAGCGATGATTCCGATTCAGTCCCTCCAGCGATGGCTCTCATAAATGTAAATCGACTTCATGCCCAAACCTTGCATCCAGCTACATTAAATGAGAACAGAGTAATTGCAACAAATAACATTTTATATGATTTCAACACTGAGTTTGATGTCTCTGGATCAAAAATATCAAAAACATTTTTGAACGCTTCAAGAAAATCTCTTCCAGCAATCCATCTTGATCGTGATTTAGAAGTAAGCGGCAGTAGCGGTACTAGTAGTCTTTCTTATACGGCTGTGATTGGTAACGAGGCGGAATATATTCAGCCGGATAAACGCTTAGAGCCATTCTCTGATGAATCTAACAAGCACCACTTGAATTCTCTGCGTTTCGGGGAAACCGGTGCATCCGCGAGAGATTCTGGCTTAAGCTCACATTCAAGCAATTCTGTAAATTATTCCCCTAACTATCTTCTGCTCCCTCATAAAGGATTGGTTCCTGAGTGTAAAACTAGTCTCTCTTCGACACCTCCACCAGTTCCATGTCACGCCCCTCAATCACAAACTATGGTTGCACTTACACAAAGGAACGGAAATAGTAAGATATCTAATTTCGTTTAATAAAAAATGAAGTGGGTTTTACTTATTTTTTCATCTTTCACAATATCTTTATAAGTAAAGATGGATAAAGGCTAGCAGTGGGATCCAGGGCGCTCGTTCCGTCCTATTTGGGACTCGTCAGCCGGATATACCTGCATCTCAGAGTTGATGTACATTCTGGGACTCAAACTCAGTACCGTTCACCTCAAACGCCATCGCGTTATCCACTTAGCTACTGAGTCCTAATAGCTACTTGCTTACTTGCTAGCCACTATCCATCTTTGCTTATAATAGTTGTGAATTAAGAAAATATCGAGGTAATAAGCACAGTATGTTCATATGCCAACAACAGACTGATCAATTGCAGTCCTAAACATCAATGGGAAGATTCAAGTAAACAATACCAAGTGAATATCATCATATCTTTGTTTGGAACGAACTCATTATAGTATATTCCGAGCATTTGCATCATATATGAAATGATTCTGAAGAGATTTCGTCAACCGTTTGGGATATTTGAATAAATCAAACTCTGATTAGCTATTAAAAATCCATTAAACTTTCACGAATTGATTGATTGAGGGTCAACTAATCAGAAAAACGCCAGTAAATGAAGTTGGAAATAAATGTTTGAATCATTTTGACAACTGCTGTATCATACCCATATTCATTTTTATTCCATCAAATACTGCACAACAATGATATAGGTCTAATATCCATTAGCGATATAGTTCAGCAGTTTGTCAGGGAAGTTAAGGTGGTAGAAAAACCCTATTTTAATCCCGTTGACTCATTTTAATAAGGATGTGAATCACTCAAGCGACCTCAGAACTTCTGTATTACCATTCCCAATATTCTCTGAAGTAGTTTTTTCAAGAACTCGAGATATTTAGTTTGTTTTCCTGTATAGCATTTATGATTTTTAGTTAAATAAAGTACGCTGAAGAACTCTTACTTTTTATTATTTTAACTTAATCAAAAATCTCATAACTGTCAACCTGAGCTGTACTGTATTGTCGATGTGTTGATATGAAGCATAGTGCTGTATTGGCTGATAGCAGGTTAAGAATTCCTATGATTTAGAAATTGTGTAAATACTTTTCGGCTTACGAAATGAAATCCTTACATAGTTATATGTTACCACACGGAGCGGTGGCCTAGTGCTTACGGTATTCGTCATTCAGCCACTAAAATCCAGGTTCCAATCTTGTTCCACCTATTTGGGTTTGAGCAACCGAGTTATATCATTAGCCCTTACACTAAGAGTGCGGGTAATCCCCAAGTACCTATTGAGTGAATTAATTTGTCCATAACTTATTTCATTTTTGTTACCAATAGTCAGTTTTTTAGCATCTTATTTTTATACTGGCTTAATACGTTTTCTGTGCTAAAGGGTTGCAATTCGTATTTACTCTTAGCTACAACTCACTAATGAATAGAGATGAAACATTTCCATAGCTCTCTTAATGTCATATGTTCTGTTGTACACTTAACCAATAATTTAAACGTGACTGATCAAAGATAGAATAGGTAAGAAACGCGTAACTTCAGAACTGAGTGATAACGACTTTAATGTTCAACTAACACCACACTTAATATTTTGAAATCACTAATTACATTATACCATTTTCGACTCTGTTTAAAAATATCATTTTTTTAATACATGTTTTGTTTTGTATTAATTTTTTAATGAATAAATTTGTTACATTCAAGATATTTTAAATACAGCCAATTTAGTACGTTGTAAAACTGACCTTACAAAGTGTACATGCTCCAAAAGTTCAAGCAGTAAAATGGTAGAAGGAAGAATTCGTGGAACAACTATCCGATTGCATTCATATACGGGAGAATCTAAAACTCTCTTAAAGGTAAGTACATAAACGTGATACACATTGTCTTTAACTGAGCATCAATCTATTTCATTACGGCTCTATATTATCCTCACATCAATTTACTGTCATTCTCTTACGGTACATTTGATAAGACTTGCCTTTTGGTAATCAATAGATTGCTATTAGTAACAGGAGCAACAATAAAGTGTTGGTTTGCAAACCAACTATGCTCGGTTTTTTGTAGACATTCGATAAAATTTAGCTAACGACAGACACAATCTTTGGATTAAAACAGTTGTTTTCCTCATACATTGAGTATATGTTCAGTAACCTCTAATTTATGAACATAGTGATAGTTAGGTCAATGTTTTCATACTTTACTCCCAGGATTTTTGTAACTTAGTCTAACGAGAAATTAGTCAATATCATTCTTGCTAAATATGCGTAGACTTTAATTTTAGGAATTGGTTACAGATTATTTGACATGTTTTTGATATTGAAATCTATGCTTAATAATATTTCTGATTAGGAAGAGAGTTCTAATCATTATTAGATCTGCGAAATCTTAATTTTCCATCATTGGTCTAGTATATTTGTATTCGATTTCAGACTGGATTATGATTTCATTTAGTCATTCAATTAGTCACATGTGCATACAGTATACACATGCATCAGTTCATATTGCCATGAATATATCAGTATAATAAGTTGAAATTATCACGATAAACGCCAGAGTAGTATAAATAGTAATATTAGTAGTATCTACAAAATATTCAAAACGAACATGATAAAAATTTATTGATAATAGTAACGGTAAGTATTATACACTTTAAAAATAGTTACAAAATTCACACCTATTCCCAGGCATGATTAAATCAATACGAAAAAGAATGTAATGCCAAAAAACAAGGATACACTATTTAAAAAAGCGTGATTCATATTTTATTTCAATTGAGCATTTGTCTCAAACATTTTAATCATGTAAAGCAGAAGGAATACATGATCATAGATGATAAAATTTTTGAGTACTGAGTTGTTATCAGAACTCCAGTAATAATTATCAGTTTTTTAAGTTCACAGTTATCTTTAGTAAGTAGTGTAAGATTAACATAAGCGCATTAGGTAAATGGCATAATTACAGTGTCATGTGCGTTTTGAAATTATAAATATTGTGTAGGATGCAGCGGTTAAGAACTAGTATTTTCTTGATAGGAGAGCAGACAAATCTTGTTTACGTATGAATAATGTAGCGAAGAGGGAACTGTGTTCTATTTTTCATGATACTTATAATAATCTACAGCTAAACGAGGAAAACAAAAACACAGAGCACGGAAAAACAACAAAAATTAGTCAAGTTTTTCATCAAATATATGTTTGATTAATTCACGGACTGTTCGTTTCGATAGATTTAATTGTACTCATAATATAAACTTTTAATAAAATCGTTGTATCATATGTAACTAAACAGGGAAGTTTACTAAGTATACTCAATGAAAACGGTAATGATGCACTTACAAATATTCCCATTCAACAGCTAATTTTAAATGATGCTCTAACTAATGATATCATTTTTTCGAGGAAAACTGCATTGAACTTTAAAACCTGTTTTCGATAACATAAATAAATGGGGATAAGTAAAACTAATAAGTAACCATTTTATTATTATTTTCTTCCTTTAAATATTTTAGTCATATTTCCCAAGTGAAAACAAACAGATTAAACAAAATCCTAATTCATCTTTATCACCTATATGGAAACGTAAATCAAATACATTACAATCAATGATTAAGGATAAAATTCACCTCGTTGAAGAACAAAACTATTCAAAATCAATCCAAAAACTAAATCCAAAGAAGGTGGTTGTAGCAAAAAAGAAGATAAAGATGATGATGAAGTAGGGAGAAAAGGGAAACATTTAATCAATAAAGTTCAATGTGAAAATACTACTACTGCTACTACCAAGAATGATAATAATCATGACAGAGTACATAATTCCTGTCTACTTTTAAATGATTCAATTAAACAACAAAATATTTGTACGGCCTGTACACTAAATTGGCAATTTTATTTATCCCAACCTTGTTGTTATACATTTATAGATGATATGGTTAAATTTTATCATGATGTGAATAATTCTTGGTATTTTGTGAAACATGATTGTTTTCTAAATTCAATTATTCAATTGTTTAAACCTGATAGTTGTTTCAATTGTCGTAAACATATTTATGCTGTAGGCGTAAATTTATTTAATAGGTAAGTTCGTAAGAATAATAATTTGGTACAAACTCATTAACAGACTGTGTTCTAATAATTTTTATTTCAATCCAGATGGAAACAAAATTCTGAATTTATCAATTATTGTAGAGACAAGAAACTTTTAATTTGGATGTGCAGTTGATTAGCATTCATTAGAATTCTGAACCTTCTATTTCATTCGCCATACTGATATTATTAGTAGTAAGGATTGGAATTAGACGGCAGCTGATATCAAAGACTGAAATTTGATTAGTCTTTGGTGACATATGCTCATGCTGTGCGAATTACCTCAATAGAACCATTTTGTTACAAGTTTAACAGAATAGATAGATTTTGGTTTGAAGTAAAATCCAGGACGCTCGTTTTTTTCCCTTTGTAACTCATCAGCTAGAACTACGTCCATCACAATGTTGATATTCACACTGGAACTCTAACTCACGATCTTAAATTTCAGATACCAACACGTTATCCTCCTCATTGGATGTGCCTACACCAACAAAGATGTCAACATTAAAAAGCAGGTATATCTGACTGACGAGCCCTGTATAGGACAAATCATGCGTCTTAGACTTCCACTCTGGTCACGATTGATCTGCTCTGTAAAACATCATATTACTATTTCGCTTAATCGATAGTGCAGTTTTCTTCGCAAATGTTTTTTTCAAAGGGATGAATAGATGCTTGATTGTGTTATTATTTATTTATTTATTTTAACACATAGATATTGGCACAAGGAGGCACCAAATACATATGCGCCACACAAATCTCATTCGATATGTGTGAGGGCTGTGATACTGCCCGGGTGCCCAAACCGAAGCAGGTGGTTTTCTTAGGGGGGCACTCCCCGAACCTTCGACCTGAAGGTCTCATCCACAAGGCAGTGTAGCATCGTAAAGAGATGCGGTCCGATGGCAGCCGGTGACCAACAATTGGTTCATACGCCATTTGTTCCTTCAGGATACTGGAGCTTATGTGTACCATTGGTTTGGAATCCGGTTAAAGCTCAGGACATTCGCTTTTCGTCCTCTCATTTTCGTAAATAACACCCCTGGTGCGAGAAGGCAGTGAGTAGGACTTCCCTGGCAGAGGCTATATACGCGTGGCCATGTGAGTGCAGTTCGAGAGGGAGAGCGAATTCTCCCCACTCTCGGCCATACCAGGGTATTTGGGGGCTTGATTGTGTATAAAAATCTAATTCATTAGTGATCTATCAAAACATCTGGTAAAGGGAATGGTTGGTGTAATTTACTTATATTGCATCCATATGATAAGCCATTATATTTTTGAGATAATTTGTAAAAGATGTTTCATATCGTTTTCGTTACCATTACTGTCATAAACACGTCATTTAACCTTATTAAAAAATAAGCTGTTTGAAATTTCCTCCAAAACGTAAATCCATTTTGCACTGACATATGATTATACGCCTCGTTTACAATAATATGCACTTGAGTTGCTGTGGACTTCTGTAGTTCAAATAGAATTTAAAACAACAGACATTACTTACCAAGTAATGACTAACTCGTTTAACTCATTGAAGGTTGATCATCTACTCTTAAGTATAACAAGTTTAAAAATCAGTTATCTAGTAATTAAAATCCAAACGATTTAAACTCTGTTTCCGTTTCATAGTTCTTTCATTAAATTATTTTCCGACTATTTGAGCCCTTCATCGATTGATTACATCGGTGCTAAACTGTTTTACTGGTCTCTGATAAACATTTGACTACTCCAGAAGCCTTCTAGCGTAAGATTATAGTATTTCTTCCACTCATATCTACGTTAGGCATCGTGCCAAAGAGCATAGATTTTGTGTCTGAAAGGAAAGGTGTTAACTTTGATAGACGTATCGCTTATCGGTTTTTGTTATGGTCTCTTTCGACGTACATAATATGAACTCAGGCTATTTTGTTTTTTGGCTGTCTTCAACACTGACTTTTCTGCAGTCTTGATCGTTAATCATTCATTTATACCTCTCAGATGTAGTTGTGCTAATGTGTGGTTGCAAACAATGAATTATTTAAGTCGTGAAATTATGATGTTTCTTGTTCTAAATTTAGAGAGTCCTTTCCAAACTGTTTCACAGATTAATTTCACGCTATATATATGCATGTTATTTCTTTCTGTAGAAATCCATTGAGAGGTCTAAAATATTTGGCAAGACATAATTTCTTAAACTTGTCTTCTAGTAAACAAATTTCCAAATTTATTCAAAATAATGCTGATTTATGTCATTCGAAAATTGGAGCATTTCTTGGTCTACCTCCTACAGATGAGATCAACCCGACGGAAGTTACAATGTAAGTTCTTCAAATTTTGATGCCAAGTTTTTATTGTACTCAAACGTTATAAGAGCTAGTGGTTAAATAATGTAATCAAAAATTAGCACTTCATTAACAACTCTTATTTACCAATAAATTCTTGATCAGTTTCATTCAAGAAAATTTAATTAGAATGACCTTGACCAGTCAGCTTAAGTACTAGAAGTTAAAAACTAGTAAGGGAGAATGCATTTGTAGTGTTCTACTAAACAGGGTATTTTGTCAGTATTGAATATAATGGCTGTAGTGCAATTATCGCAACTTACAATTGGAGTGACATGGCTGGTACTGTACTGGTACTTACTATTTGACTTCCTTTAGATACTGAGGCTTAAAATTATGTCTTACTTTTTTTCTCATGGATTCATTCTTTCTTCTCGATTCATAGAATCTATACTTTAACTATTCTACTACTATTGATAGTGTTACTACTTACATCACTGTAACATTCTTCTCGATGCATTCATCCAACTATGCTGATATATATATGATTTCACGTTGCTTATGACTAACTGATTGATTAAATAAATGAACATTGCGTCATTATTATTAGCCTTTTGTTTTATTTTTTGAATGCCAAACAAGTGATCGAATTCGTATCCCTGATTAGTTGATACTTTTTGAAGTAAATTTGTAGAATTGGTTTTACAAGTCTCCTGAACTCCTGATAGTTTTATTGATTTTTGGTGTTAGATTGAAATCAGGTAGCTAAACTGTAGCTTAGGTAGACAGTGTTTCGACAAAACGAAACTAGATCTAACTGATAGGTTTATTACGTAGTTTCAATGAACTTAACTGCGTAATAAATAACCTATTTATCAGGCATTAACACACATATGATCAATAGCTTATACAACCTTTGGCAGTTGACATCTTTCGTCCTCGAGTAATTTGACAAAAATTCGTCTCAAATTTTAAAAACACTTCTGAATTCTTTTCAAATTATCTACTACGTGGATATGTATCAGTTGAAATATATATATATATATATATATATATATATATATTCTGAAAATAATTATATAATAAGGACCAGCTTACTTGTATGATTAGAAAAGCAATAAAAATATTTTTTTAAAGTAAGTGAACTGTAAATGAAATCTTATGATAAGTAAACTTTTAATTGTTATCATAGTATACACCGTAATAGTCGTTAGTTTTATAAGTACAGGGTAGTTATTTTGGTAATGTAAGAATAATATATCTGTACTAAGAAACTGATAGATGTTGTATTTTCTTAAAGACAGGAGTATAATGTTTGTTAAGTTACATGTTGGTATCATCAAAATGTAGTTGGCAAATTTTTATACACCTCAGTTTAACAGATTATCCTTTTCTCAATCCATCCACTTGTTGTATCATTAAGTGATATTTAACACTTACACTAGTGATCCACTTGAAACTTTGTAGTTAAACAAACATCTGTTAATATTTACATTTTATTACCCTTCATATCTAAAAATAAGGTGTTTATAGTATACTCAATCTTGTTCAAATATAATTTAACTTATAAGTACTGACTGCAATATGTTATAATTATTGACTGTAAGAAACGATGTGTTATAATGTTCATTTATCAGCATCTACTACCTTTGGGGTATAAATATTAAGCTAAACTTTACTTTGCAATCTAATAATGATTAATTAACGGCACTCAAAAAACATAATAATCGAAACTTCTGATTTATTATCAGTAATTTGTAAACAGCAATTACAGTTTTGATTAAATCGCAGTTATATTACTAAAACAGAAAGTATTAAATCAAACTATTCATCTGAACGTCTGATTTCGTTCATTGCTTCTATTAAGCTTTATAGATTACTCAAATTTTACGTTTTATCAACACCAATGATGTATTTTTGTCTAGAATTTTGTTGGTAATATCATTTTGTAATTACATTTTTAACGCCAATTTCAAATCTTCGAGTATAATTGGTTATAGTTTCATTAGAAAATTAAAATATTTAATTCACATAAAACCTGGAACAAAAGATAGTATGAGCCGCAGGAGCAATATTTGCATGTTAGCTGGGATAAATGTTTGAGCCCTCGAACTGAAAAAAGTTATTTTCTTAAGGGCTATTTCCAGAGTCATTGGCTTTGAGTTTTGACCTACAAGACAGTAGAGCAATGTTCGTGGATGCTGTCATGTGGTACACGGTGATCGAAATGACTTCATGTGCCATCCGTTCTCCCAAGATTTCGGACATCATTCACACCATTAGTTTGAAATCAGAGCTTACCAACCTCGTCAATGGGACTCCTCGTATCTATCAACCTGGTTTAAGTGCCAGGTGCTCGTTTTTTGTCCTCTCATTTTTATATACAACTTGACACGTAATTACATTGAATAGGAATTCCCTTACGAAAACAATGGGTATATGGCATTTAGAAGCTTATTCCATGTGTGTATTCTTTTAATTAGTCGGTTTAGTCAACCATTGATTATTTTATCTGACAAGTATATGTGTGACCAGATTGTTCGAAATGTATAGCGCAAATACACCACATTTTTCAGATAAACTCCGTTTTCTCATTGTTCTATCAAGATTATATTATCATTTTCACCCTTAGGTTATTTAATTTTAATCATGAAATTCTCTACTATTATTCCTCTTTGTTCTCTTGTTCCCTTTCTCATTTTCTAAAGCAGAAAGTGTTCTATTGACCTTTATATATATATATATATATATATATATATATATATATATATATATATATATATATATAACAGAAACCATACAATTTTAAGGACACTACCAACCCAACTAATTAATTCTCATAGGTAAGAAAAACAAAGAGTAATACACTAATATCCATTGACTATCTTATTTTACCCCATTTTTATCGTTTGTTCATTACTCATAGTGAAATTGTTACCTTTCAATGTGTAGTGTTTATGTTGCATTGAATGATTTTGTTGTTTTTGATGTATGAGACATTTTTATCTCCATTTTTTCCTTTCTAAGGGACTTCTTTAATTTTGAGCATCATGTATGGTTGTTATACAATGAAAATGCGTAAACCCTGCATACCTTTTTCTAGGATTGTATTTAATGATTCCTTAATTGTTGTCTTTTAAATTGTCTTTCGTTTTCTGTAATTATGGGAGAAAAATCGCATTTAACCTCATCACTATTTTCATCTGAGGAATTTCAACAAACCTAAATATCAAAACATTTTTGTCTGTTAGTATATAAGGGATATCAGCTGAGTTCTTTGATTCTATTGCATTCACTTCAGGTTTGCTTGTCAATAAATGAAACAATGAATCATCTGAGAACAGCAAAACTAAAACAAATGGTTTTTTAAGTGGTATTTATTCACATGTAATATAACCAGCTTTCACATAGGCACTTTGTGCATGAAAACCCTTTTAAAGGAACCGGAATATACTAAATAATTGAATCATTACAACCTGACTAATGCGAATTAGTTCAGATAATTTGATAATTGAAATTTTAATAAATAGTCAGTGTTATTATCTAGTCCCAAGACTAAATTTATACTGCTAGTGATTATTAGTTTTGTTATCGGGATATAGATGGGATTAAGGCATGTTCCGTGCAGGATTGTGTTAGAGCACGTTGACTCCGTCAGCTGCAACGTTGAACCTGGCACATTTATGCATCGATCCAAGTTTCCATACCTCATTAGCACAACACGATGAACAACAAATTCATAGGAGTAGTTACTTCCATGGTAGTAAAAAACATTTCATATAAGGATATGATGCAGGGAGAAAGAGTTATTTCGTAGAAATAAAGATACAAAGTAATTTTAATCTCACGAAGAATGTGTACACTTACGCCATTGTAATCGGTTCTAAGCCGTGTCACCCCGAGTCTCCAACCGTTGGTTAAGATAGTCGCACAGACCCCAATCAAGTAGTTTGCATCTATCAATATGGATCAGACTAGAAGTTAGTGACTTTATGGACTGGGCACACTGGTTGGCTATTTTTATCCAATCAGCGCTAACGAATACTTGAGGATGACTCTGGAATCTTCTTATGTAAAAACTATAAACATACTAACGTTCCTCTTATTGTGATTTCTACTTCCATCCTACCTCTTTTTATTCGGAATATAGTGACGTTCCTGTCCAATCGTGTTTGATTTGGGGACTTCTCAAGTGAATTAGTGTCCAAAAATACTAAGCAATGAGAGTAGATGGGTCATAATAAGAGAAGTTATAACTAATGTCCAATGTTACTTGAATGTGATCACTTATTTTAATCATTAGTGTGTACTGGTCTTCAGTACCGTGAATAAATATTCTAACGATTTCATTAGTGGGAATTTCTACTTGGTAAGTAGAATATCAAAGTGATTTTACTTGCATAATGTTAAAACTAATCTACCCTTAGAATAATCAATATTATTATATAGGACTTCTTAGCTTCTCAATAGTTGTTTCTTGTCATCAAACTGAATTTTCATAGAATAATTGGTTACATGTTTACAGAGAATGTTTGTCAGTGTATCCGGCGTATACAGTCTACCTACAGGACAAAATTTAAACAAGGATGTTTTTATGTATCGAAATAAATTGATTGAGCAGAAACAATTTTACGGTTAACATGATACACTTAAACCATTTATTCGGTATTTTTAATCCTAATTATTTCGTAAAGAACGCATAATTCTTATGCGATTTAATCGACAAGTTATTGCCCCATTTGAAAATTAATTGACTTCATAAATGATGAATTTTCATTAGAACTTTATCAATATTATATGGAATTCAATTAGCATTTGTTTCTGTAAATTGTCTGTAATATGAAAGTAATTTTCAATATAGGTTAGCATAACTGGAAGAGTTAGCGAAAAGTAAGCAACATCAAACAGCTATCTGATTTTGATTAGCTCGATAATCTGTGTCAATATATGTTAAAATTTCCTTATTCTCTTATTATTATTATTAAGAGAACACTTTTCTTCGTATTATTTCCATGATAGAAAGCCTTTTTAGAAAT